AGGTAAAGCAATATAAATGAATTTGCCGTCGCGGTTTCGGTTCGCAGACGACGCAAATTTTGGAGATTTCACGTTCTTGTTTTGCATAGGACGGCTAAGAAATGTACAAAGTTTAAAAACGCATGTGCTGGGCTATTGTTCTACTAATTAGATCTCTTGTTTTTCCACGTCTTCGTTGCCGTTTCCGTCGTGGCTGCTTAAGGTCCCTATTAATTCCTCATAGACCTGGGCTATCGTCGCTCATTACAAAGAAAACACGACAAACTAGGTGTTCTCTCTCATTTCTCCTTTTTTTTCTTAGTTCCTACTTGAACTTTATCCAGAAGATGGCTGAAGGCAGACATTTTTTTTTTCGATGAGCACTAAGCTAGAGAAGCCATTTTGCTAATTACATACCCACTGGTAAGTACCAAGTAAACATAATTATTTTGCAAATCCTGATTACTGATTTATGGAGATCTAACTGGCACAAGGAAATAAAGCGACTTAACAAATGTGAACGAAAATTTTGATACGTGAAGTAAATGATCTGGGACATTTTAACTTGAGGCAATAGATGAATGGGTTCTATGTACAGAATCTTGGGGAGGGGATCGAAAGAGACAGTTTCCGACGTTTAGCTTCGCATTAATAAGATAGAAGTAAATTGATTTTGTAATCATGTTCGACCACAATCTTTAGCTGATGAAAGACAATGTTTGAAATTTAAATACTTAAACGTTTAGGTATGTTCTTATTTTTTAAATTTAATAGCGACATAGAATGTTTTCTTGATGCATTTATGCGTATGAAGAATTAATTTATCGGAGGGAGATAGCCGAAAGATATATTCATTTTTATTGCTTCGCCCCATTGGTTTCATGTTTTATTACAAATGGTTTTGGTGCTTCTGACTAAAATGGTGTGGCGGCGTGCCTCAAAGCAAGAGATACAAAGTCTAAGAAGGAGGGAGGTTCAGTCGTTGGTTCGTCAGTCAGTCAGTCAGTCAGTCAGCTAGACAGTAGTACATTTGGTTTCCACGATTTTTTTAATTTTGTACGACTTTACGAAATGTTGTGTTAAATTTACCGGTAACTAACGCTACAGCACCTGAATTTATCTCCTGGAAAGAAATAGGTAGGTTTTGATTGGAATCATGGACAAAAAGTATATAACCACTAAACTAGCATGACCTGAACCCTTCAGGTGATACTTAGGAGCCGACGTCGACATTGTAAAACAAGGTTTTGTTTGACTTGTCGCTTGTTTTTTTTTTTTTTATTAATTCATTTCTTGAAAGCAGAATATGAACAAGAAGGAGAGAAAGAAAGAAGGATTCCGGCGAAGTAAAGTAAGGAGTTGTTTACTTCACCTTTGCGTCCAAATTGTGGAATATGTTAAACGATGACCTAAGAACAACCACTAGCATAACCTGTTTTAGAAACAGCTGCTCAGACTTTACTATCTCGATTGCTTATTCCTGATCTTTATTTGACTTTATTATATGGCTATGTCTCACAAGGACTGAGAACTACCGAATTCACGAATTTGATTGGCTGAAATCAATATTGAAGGCGGTTTAGATTTTCCCATCTAGACTGGCATTTAGACTGGCATTTAGACTGGTCTAGGAAAAAAAGGTACAAAGAATATAAAAAATTGGCATATAAGACACAGCCATATCATAAACATCTTATTAATCGAGCTAGGTCGGTCTGTATGGGAGAATTGGTGCGTTAATATCGTGTTGCTGTTTCTATTTTTTTCAATAAATGAAGAAATTTCCTGGTCGTCTAGCTGTTTTTCTTCGTTCGATTCATCTAAAAACTCGGATCTATCTTTGCCATAAAGACTGATAGTTTCTAAAGAAACTGTTTGGGGCTGCGTCGGTGGGGGTAACGAAATAATTTGAATATATCAACAAAGTTGAAAAGGTAAATTGGCCACCGTTACGATAATAAAAGCTGACGTTTCGAGCGTTAGCCCTTCGTCGGAGCGAATAGGGGAATTGTGGGTTGCGTGTGTTTTTAAAGGCAGAAAAAGGAGCTAAGTGATTGGTGGGAACATGGTAACGAGAAAAACACCAATAAATTAGTAGAATGAAAAGCGTTCGTTGATACCTGTGGGATTTAGACTGCTGGTTTGAAAGATGAGCTTTTGTTCAAGAGTTTTCCGGCTTTCCGTGCTACCTAAGTGTAAGGAAAGACCGCAGATTGCCATGTGTTGCTTAGAATGGTTTGGTAAATTAAACCATTCTAACCATTCTAAGCTAACTGAGTGATTTACTGTAGGCATAAGAACAGTAGTAAGATCCATACTAATGATGGTTGGTTGATGCTTTGAAATGACGACTGATTGATAAATTGATTGACTGATTGATCGAGTTTTATTTTTTATTCCCTCAGGAAATAGAGGAAATTCGAATGGAAATCGACAAACGGATTGAGAGAAATAAAAAAGATCAAGAGCAAAAGCAACATGAGGTTTGCTTTTTCTTTATAAATGAATATAATTACATGGGTTGAACAGCCTGTGCAGCAAAACTCAAGATTACTCAAACTTTGTTTTAAAAATATCTTTTGAATGAAACTTTCCTATTAGTTGGTGCTCTTTCCGTTCCTTGACCTTCAATCTTTTCTTCTTGTTGTTTGTTCCTTCCTTCGTTTCTAGGTTTATTACTTTCGTTTAGTTCCCAACGTAAAATTACGTAGTCCACCAAATAATAAGCCCCTCAGTCTACAACTCTGCATCATCATTACCATCATCAGATGCGAATATTTATCGCCTACATTGTAATAACAGTATAATTGGGAAAAGAAGAATGTGATTTTCTCAATGTTCCTTACCCTAACAGGAGGTGAAATTGGCTGGAAAACAATCACTTCCATCTTTCGATGTTAACGTAGGTATGTCTTGATGTAAAATAATCATTCAGAGTATGTGAACATGCTTACTTGTGAATGTATGAAACGTCGGGTGTGTGCTATATTTTTTCTCATCTTCATTTTCATCATCAGCACGAAAAATTTCTATATATTGATAGCGACTATCCAAATTTTTTAGAGTTGCCTGTTCTTTCCTCCTTCTATTTATCTATCTAGACGTGGGACTTCAGTAGAGCACAAAGGGTCTGCAGGTCGATAGATTAGCTGTACAGCCCTAACGCTTAACCTTGAACACAGATATCACGGGGTGACTGTAGACTTCGAGTCCGCTGAATTGCATTTTCACATCATACTCGTGACAATCCTCTTCCTGTTAATTTGTGATAGTTTTTAATCCCTTTAACTTGAAAGTTTTGAACCTATTCCTTTTTACACAAGCAATGGAAGCCACAGGATCCAAAAGAGAGACAAGTGAAAAACAGGTTAATCTTAAAGGTATGCATAGTTCCAACGTTACAACGTTTAGTCCATCCCAAGTTATACCACAGAACCATAGAAAGTTTTCCATTCAGATTTTATTTCGTCGTAATGCAGTCGGGTCACTGTTGATCGAAATGATGCTGTTTGAACTAGAAATGTTGATCGAAATGGTGCTGTTTGAACTAGTTCGGCGAATTTCAAAACTACCATACTGGCAATTGAAAAAATGTTGATCTTTTATTTGATTTGGACTGTGAAACATCGACGTCATGATAACTTTAAAATGTGAATACTTGATATTTACCCGAAGTCTCTCACTTACTTAATCTCAACAGAAGTTATTGGATCAGGAGCAAGACCTAAAGAAAGAAAAAGGAACGAAAGATCAAAAAAAGCCAAAGTTAAGGAGGGTGAGATGAAACACAAAAATACTCCTTGGAAGGGCTAGTTTCCATAGTATATTTAGGCTTTACATCCTTAGATATGACACCTTCATTTCTATAATGTTCGGAGAATTTTAAAGGTGGAGGTGTGTCTCTTTGGACATCTGTTTACGGTTGCCTTGTTTAAAAATAGTAGGTGGAATGGCTATTCAAAATAATAATAAGGTAAGCTGTCATCTACGCGTTGCTCGTAAGGCAAACCTCGACTAACATTGGCCATGTTTAACAAGTCCAGGTAAAACATTGGGCTGTTATCGACAGGTTTAGAAAGGTATACATAACTGACAATAGTGATAGAAATAGCCTCCTCATAGCTTGTCTTTCTCAAACAGCATTTGTTAATGATGGCGCCAGTGAGAATCCTAGGATAAGTTGTAAGAAGTCTTCAACCAAGCAGCCACATTCCTTTATACAAGGTCGAGGAATTAGCTCTGACCACGGGGAGACTTCCGTCAAGCAGGTGGACAGAGTAGTCGAGGTTAAATCCAATTGCTCAGATGGGGGTAAAATTGTAGATGCATCGGGTGAAACAGGTCATGGATGGACCGTAGTTAATCCAAGGGGTAAGAATAGAAGACCACTCAACCAAACCAAATTTCAAAGCTTCAGTCAGGATAACAGAGTGGAGGAGTGGAGGAAACTTGAAAGTCATTCGACTTCTGGACAAGACTGGTCATTTCCGCGACGATCCACTCAAATATCACGCGATTCCACACTTCCTTCCAAACGTAATTCTGGCCCATATCTGGCAAGGAAATCCTCCATAGACAGTGAAAAGACAACAAAATCTAAGTGGGAGAGTCCTAAGCAAATTTCTCCTCTACAAATCCATCAATTCAAGAACTTTGTGAGGGATGATACCTCTTCGGCAGACAAGAAAAAGTCTAATCTACACCTTGAAAGAAATCAAGAAACCGGTGGTCAACGATTTGCCAATGAAACTGCAGTAGGAATTGGACTGCAGTCCACAAAGGCTTTGCCAAATAGTGTCTTCTCTATTTGCAACCACTTTTTGCAAGACAACAGATGGAGAGGGAACTATAAGCATCCAACTCCTTGTTCCAGGTGTTCAAAGGATTCTTCCAAACTGCTATTTGGAGTTTGGAGAAGTTTTAAAAAAGAATGGCAGATAATGAGACCCTACCCCAAGAGGTTGAACTTGAACACTCCTTTCCGACTCTGTTGGCACTTCAGCAATGGGAGGAACTGTCCAAAGAGTCCATGTTCGTTTGCGCATGGCCAGGAAGAACTAGAATTTTGGACAGTAGAGAGAGAATTAGGTATGTCGATGTCTGGCATATTACATGACTGATGGAGAGAGGGCAACTTGTATGGTAGAACAACTTGTACCAGACAGTACAGAGAAATCTTAAAAATGCAATAAATTGCCTCCTATTATCAAGGATAAATATAAAGTTGGCTGTATTTTGTCCATGCCATATTCATCAGCAGCAATATTATGCGATTTTCTCATTTCATGTAACATATACTGACACTCACATTTTCATTGCAGAAAGTGGTACCATTAGCAAGATGAGCATAGATGGCAGACCACGACAAGAGGTTGAACCTGAAAACTTTCCTAAGCCTCAGGAACTGATTAAGGGATCCTTGGTATTTAGGCACACGGCAGAATTAAAGCTAAGGCCTCCTCAAAAAAGTGCAAACCCTGGGTAACATGCTCTTCCTTCTTAATAACAATAATCTGAAGTACTTTGCGTTAGTTATAACATATCATCACTGTCGTTATTACGACCCCCTACAAATGCGGAAGAGGGCAGGATAGTCGACTGGTTAAGGATGCTGGTCATAAGGTCAAAGCATGCCGAGACCACAGGCTCGGAATGTTCTCTTTATTGAGAAAGAAAGGTTTAGGCCATCTTCTGCTGCTCTCCCTTTTACTCTAATTGAAATCTGACAATTGGGTAATTTTTTCCCATTGAAAATTGTATTTCATGTAAAAATCAAACTTTTTCTCTTTGACTTTTAGCAAAGTAGAACGGAGATCATCGATGGGATGCAAGAGTGAGGAAATAGCGACTACCAGGAAGGAGGAGCCAAACCGCGAAAAAGGGAAGGAAAGGGATGACAGCATTTCAAGAGTCAAGGTGCCAAAAATAGTGAAGCGCTGAAATATACTATTAGTATTGTATTTGTATTTATAGATTCGTACAGTGTACAGGCGAGAGAACAATAGGACACGTAGTCCCCTACTATGTTCACCCACCTAAACCTACCCCAACCCACCCATCCCACCCCAGGGGAGGACATCCATCACACAGTAAATCGTTAATTTCCCATGCAGTCTTGTGCGTGGTAAATTAACGTTTTCTACCCCTAACCCTGCAGGAGACAGGACCTCCATTTATTCGTCCCTACCCAAGAAGACTAGAATATCTAACCATATCTTGATGTTTTAGAAAGGAAGCATATTCTTCTCAATTATTTTAAGACCTTGAGTGTTGGTCCGGCATGATCCATAATGAAAGAGGCAGCATTGGCGACGGACTCCAAATAAGTTATTTCTGATCTCAACTTCATTTCAGATTCTGACTGCGTACTCTAAATATTTTGACTGTGAGAGTCTTGTGAAAGGCAAAGTGATTTTCTCATTTGGCGTCCCCAAGTACAATTGTTATCCATTACTTTTATTCGATAAAAGGTTGACCGTCTCCGTGGCGTCTATTGTATCTATTTTGTTTACTCTGTAACGGTTTACCCTCTTCCTAGTGTCAACTTAACCCTTTTCGTTTACTCTAATCATGGTTGGAAATTTCTTTACTGTCATGTTCAACCACCTGGATTACCGGTGTTTGTTTAACAGACTCCCTGTTGTCATTCTTATCCACTCGTTTTCTCGTTAGATGCCTCACAGTCTTCCAGGTGTCATGATCAAGTGTGATAAACCCACTATGGTGACGATCATCCAACGGCACGACGACGAAAGCACCTACACATTTGACTGGGTTTTCACCCTCACTTTCGAGGTAAATGAGTAAAATGTTCACCCGCTTTAAAGGTTCGTATTTAAGATGGATTTATTTCTGAAGGAGAATTTGGTTAGAACACCGCGTACACTTTGTGCGTTGTGGTTCAGTTTAAGTTATGTTTGAATTCTTGTTTTTTTATTTGTTAGAGATATGTTCACCATTTCTTAAATTTTATAACTTATTCCTCATTAGATTCCTGAAGTTGGAAAGCTGCATAAAGTTCATCTCCTTCATCGATACAACGAGTGCTATCGGCTAACTGAAATTAAAGGCTTTATCGGAGACAAAGTGGAATTCTGCGAGACTCCTACAGAACGCTGGTCCCACACCCTTCACAGTATTTTTGACGAGATAAAGGGTCAAGTGCAAGTTGCTGTCTGTGTCTCCTTTAACACCGCAAAGTTTTATGGGACATTTACACAATGTCTTCAATTTGATTTTGAAAGCAAACAGCACTTGTTACAAGGATTAAATGTGGATATTGCGAAAGAAGGTGCCTTAAGCGGAATCTCAGAGATAAGGCAGTTGCTCAAATTGGATTCCTCTGTGTGGACGGAAGGGTCTGTGGACATAATCCGGTACCCAGAATCCACTAGAATGGATTATCAGGATATCCTGTTACAAGAGAAATATGGGTTACCCAAAAGGATTGAGAATATTCTTCCGTTGCAAATAACTGAGAGAAACCTAGCCATTGAAAACTACAGGAGAGTGATGCATCAATTATTGTTTACTGAGGAACTATTCATTAAAAAGGCGATTTCAAGGTGTGCAGAGGAGTGTTTCATGACATTTCGCTGACCCTATTTCGTGTGAAAAAAACAACTACTTGCTAGTCACTTTTACAGCTTCTTAACGCTTTTTACAAAGATCTAGATAACATCAAAATGATTTCTTAAAAACGAGAGAATATCTACATAAGTTATTAGCTTTTTTCTTGATTATATGTCAAACTTGATAAACTTGATATCTCTCCTAGTATACTTAATATTTTTCATACACCCACGATCAATACGGTTTTCAGTGAACCACGAGTGTTACACAAACCCTTTAAGTGGCACAAAAGAGTTGCATTAGTATTCAATCGCTTCAGGCTAAAGACTTTGAGGAGGAAACGATGTGAATTTAGGTAAACTTAACTGATTAAATTAATTTATAGGTTTGCCTTTCACGATGTGACTTTACATTGCAAAAGTGTTGTCGGTAACCAAAGATCAGGATTTACATACGCTGTTGATGGCGAGTTGTTTGGTGTTCTGGAGCTCCAGCGAAAACGATCCCCCCACCTAGATGACGTAGCAAGACGACTCCTGACTAGAACTGTACAGTATGCTTGGCTTCGGAAAGCCAGTAGCAATTCAAAGATTGTTCATGAGGCAAAAATTGAAACTGTCGAGGTTGAATCACAACACGTGACCTTGAAGGTGTCCTCCCAGACTTGCCTAGACTTGCAACTGACTGACAAAGGTGAAGTTTTGGTCGATGCACAGTTGCAGCTCAACCGGCAACCCTTTTGCCAATGGCACGAGGCAATCGACAAGCTGAGGCCTGTTCATCTTAAATTACTCTTTCCAGAAAAAACTACATTGCGGGACAACCAAGAGGTAGAGAAGTTTATTTTTAACCCTAATGTAATGAAAAATGTATTCGTTGTATTTAGAAGAGTGGCTTTTGTGGGCATGATTTTTCGAAATGACTAGTGGTATTAACTAAAATGTACGTAAATGATAATTGAAATTTTGAGAATTCCGGAACATGAAATTTTCGCACTTGATTTGTTCTGATTTCGACATTTTTCTTTACATGATGCTGATGTCTATATTGGTCAGTAGAGGGGGTTCTGACATGTAAGCCTTTCGTTTGGTCAGCTGTGACGTGCTGTTTACGTCACATCGAGACTAATGTCAAGAATGTATCCTTACTTCTTTGAAGGAATTTCGTCTATCTAATTGGCAACGTTTGGACCCCAAGCTCAACGAAAGCCAAAGAGAGGTAATAAAGCGAATTTTAGCTCCTGAAGATGTATTGTCACCGCTTATGGTCTTTGGACCTTTTGGTACCGGAAAAACATTCACATTAAATCAAGCAGTCCGTGAGTTGGTGACAAGGGAAGGCAATCGTGTTCTTCTTTGTACACATACCAACAGCGCAGCCGATATACACGTAAAGCTTTTGCACAAGTACTTGACTGAGAAAAATGGACTGAAAGCGACCAGGCCGTTAAGGATTTATCAAACAAAGAGAAGGTAATAACTAATAATTTACTTTTTGCACGCTTTCTCCTGAAATTAGTTGGAAACGGATTGAAAGATTTTCAAGCAATTAAAGTTGTTGATAACACATTCTACTCAAAGAGGGTCTGTTGGAGGCTATTGTCAGCTGTTCTGTCTCTGTAAGGGTAAGTTTCCAAATGAACTGCAGTGTCACGTCATTCCAATTGCCTTGACGGGGGCTAATGCTCGAACTTCAGCTTGACAAAATCTTTACGGTGGCCAATACGCATTATTACGGATAAAACCAAGTGCTCCAATTTCTTGATCTGTCTTTCCTATTATATATAACATACTTTGTAGGTTGACCCAAGATTAGGATACCTTACGTAAATCACATAAACAGACGTATATTTTTTCTTCAAAATTGCCTTCACATTTTTTTATTTTGCTTTTACTTTTGTGCCCATGGGTATGTTGGCAAAAAGTTTAACTCCTGCATCTCGCACAATCCTAGATTGAATGCTGATTTAGAGATAGCTAAGAGGTATGGCCTTATAAGAAACGGCGCATATGTACTTCCCACAAGAGAGGATGTGATTTTGCATCGTGTTGTGATCACCACGCTAGCTGTATCAAGGCATCTTCTCGAGCTTCGATTAAACACTGGCTTCTTTACGCACATTTTAATTGACGAGGCTTACCAAGCCCAAGAACCCGAAGCACTAACACCACTCGCGTTAGCTGGACCAAATACAAAGGTTGTCTTTACTGGAGATCATATGCAGGTACAACGTTGCTATCGATGGGATTTATACTAATGTTTTAAGGTAAAATAATTTCAGTTTTAACGTCCCTTCTGCGAGCTCATTCTAGGAAGCTCGTCTATGGTAGTGAAAACACATTACAAATGTCAAACGTATCGTTGAAAGGAACATTTGCGATGAAAAATAGAACCGTAGGCGATTACGAAAGGTTGCTTGGGTGATCATGTACTTATATGATTCTCTTCCGATTGCAATATTTTCCTTCAATGTTTTGTTCACTGTTTCCAGATGAGTCCTGAAGTGTACTCGAGTTATGCTCGTGATTGGGGTCTGCAGAAGTCGCTCCCTGAGAGACTGTATGATCATCTGTACAGCGCAGAGCAGCCGTCAAATTGCAATGTGATGATTCTGACGGAAAACTATCGGTGTCACCGAAAAATTCTGCAGTTTTCCTCACATAACTTCTACAGAGAAGGGCTGATTGCCAGAAGCGAAGAGCCCCCACACCCAAGGTTGAAACCACTGTCATTCTATTCTGTCTCCGGTATGGAAGAAGCGAGAGAGAATTCGTACATCAACGCAGCAGAGGTAGACGAAATTAGAAAGAGAGTCAAGGAGCTCGCAGGTGACTGGCCAGAGGAGTGGAAAGAAAAGGACCTCTCTCGAATTGGCGTCGTCTCGACGTACCTAAGTCAGGTAACTTTTGTGAAAGCTTTTA